GCAAGTTTGATTTATGTGGCATTTTTATGATGTCATTGCGAACAAGTTGTTTCACAGAATAGTTACCTCCACCATGAAAGCAAAATCTCCATCACGTGATCCCTGTAAGATAGAGCATAGACCAATTTGATTAAAGTAACTACATGAGCGACATGATTCAGATAAGTGGATGACCGTATGAAGGAAACATTTCTTGTTTCTCATGAGGTCCACAGTTCTTAGTTCTTTGATTTATATGATCATGTTATTTTAAACATCAGGTAATCATTGAAATGTAAAGGAAAGATTGAATCTATATTTTCTAAATGGCACTTTTTCATTTTGATGAAGGAGAATGACTTTGATGATGTTTCCTGGTACATCTTGTTGGTTGCCTTTTCTGAAGAACTTGATTAGCCTACTTTTTTTTGTGTGTGTGTGTGTGTGTGTGCGTGTGCGTGTGCGTGTGTGTGCGTGTGCATGTGCATGTGTGTGTGTGCAAGCATTTTATGTCAACATAAAAGAGATCTGTAACATGATTTTGCCAAATTTTCATGATGAGGGCAGAAAAATGAATATTTGTATGTGGTGTCTGTATGGGGGGGTGGGTGCATGAGGTTGTGTATTGCATTACACTTCTAACTTATCTATTCTTGCTTTGTTATCAGATGCAGGCTTGTACGAGGAAGGGATGGGCTTGGAAGAGAAGAGGACCATGCTACAGTTGTTGGAGGAATCTCGAGCCTCAGCCCAGCAAGAGGCAAAGGAGCGTGAACAGTGGAGGCAGCAAGAAGAACAGATCTTAAATGAAACTCTAAACAAGTCTTTTAAGGATAATTCTGAGGTTTGTTTTTCTTTTTTTTTTTTTTTTCACATCCTATATAAATGAAAAATTTAATCTTGCCAGTTTTCAAATGTATTCCTTGTAAAAAAAAAGTAAATCATTTTCCCCCACAGGAGGATCAGCAGAGTGCTATTGGATCCAGCATACAAGACAATGAAGATAACTCACGGGACTCAGACGTGGTGGCCATTCCATCAGGCAGTGACAAGCATGACGTTAGAAATTCAGGTAATACTTCAGATTGTGGTTCAGTCACTCCCGATCTGTCACCTCCCCGGCCAGGTTCACCAGAGCTCCTTGTACCCTCGCTTTCTCCCAGACAAGAACAATGCCCTGTTAGGCCTACAACCAGCAAGGGCAAGTCTAGCAATATAACAGTGAAGGAAAAAACAAAGGGGAGCTCACAGAATTCTGATGAAGACTTGTTTTGCGATTCACAGAGTTCTGACCAGTTTGTAAATAGGAGGAAACACCAGGAATGTGTTGTAACAGAGTCTGAATCTCATGCAAAAGTGGACTCTAAAGCTCCACTGAGCAGCCCAGGGAGAAGGAGGCAAGTGCAGCAGAAGCTGACTGTTGTGAGGACAGTGGAAAGGAGAACATTCATTGTAGAGGAAAATAATTCAGAGCCTTTAGAAGCTCAGAGGTCTATAAGAAGAAGATACAGTGTGGAGGAAGTGCCATCTGAGAGTGATAAATCTGAGTCAAGAGTTAGCAGCTTCTCTCAGCCATTGTTCTCTAGTGGTGAAGATAACACAAGAAAGCAGAGACGTGTCTCTGAGGATGAGGACGGTATTCAGTTGCTTTCACCAGTCATCGGACAGAGATCAGTGTCCAGTAGAAGTGCATCATCAGGTGCCAAACAGAATAACCAGACGTTACAAGATGCAGAGGTGTCAAATTCTGTTGAAGCTGAGCCCATTCGTCAAATAGATGCTGTGATGTTGGAGGACAGTGATGATGATGACTTTGTGCTGCCATCACCAAGTGTATCTCAAAGCACCAGCTCCAACCAGATTGAAAGGTTGTCTTCAACTCCTGTTGGTTGCAAGTCTCAGAAAATCCAAGAAACTGAAAAGAGCAAGCCTCCATCTCAGGAAAGACATGCAAATGATATCAGTGATAAAGTGGATCATGGGAAGAACACAGAGGTTGACTGTTGCGTAGACAGTCAGTCACCAAGGCATAACCTCAAGAAGACAGCAGATGGTGCTGGCAATCACAATATGGAAATATCTGATAGTGATGATGAAGATCACAGTTTCAATTACCAAAATGACAGGAAGAGAAATGTGAATGTTTTTTGTCCTCAAGATAATTCTGATATTCCACTAAAGAGAAGGCGGAAAATGACAATTGAAGATCGTAAGGTAATTTATTTCAAATCTAATGAGGAAACCTTAGATGACTGCTTCAAACGGATTCTTGGCATGATTAGTCAAGATATGGAGAGACTGGAGCAAAACCAGTCAAGCCTTAGTTACAGGCTGAAGTGGATGCCACCTGTGGTTGTAGATAGACGAGTTAAGGACTCTCTTGATCGCCCAGGTGCTCACAACAGGAGAAAAGCCGGAGGACCAGCAGCAGGAAGCAGTGAACGGGAAATGCCACACAGGGCAACGCGGTACATCACAAGAACAATGGAAACTCAAGAAGAGGAATCGCAGTACTCGGAGG